CTCTCAATCCACCGTGCTAGCTGACCTTCGGGATTCTTGAACTGTAGTAGCCACTTCAGCGCTGCATGATCCGTTCTAACTCGGAAATGTTGACCATACAGATATTTGTGGAAGTGTTTGATGCAATCCACCAAGGCTAATAGTTCTCTTCGTGTCACGCAGTAGTTTCGCTCTGGTTTACCAATAGACCGGCTATAGTAAGCAACTACCTTCTCCTGCCCATCTATCTCCTGCGAGAGTACACCTCCTATGCCATACCCACTAGCATCTGTGTCTAGAATAAATGTTGCACCTGGAACCGGGTACGCTAGCATAGAATGAAATAAATTAAATAAAAAAAGATGTGTTTCTTTCTTTATTTCTTATTTTCAACTCACAATAATTTGTTTTTTTAGAAACATTTATTTAAAAATTAACTTAGATGAAAATGTAATTTACAAACTAGAGTGGTAAAAAATAAAGTAGAAAGTGAATTTGGGGATGAAATTACTACATGTTCGAATATGTGTGGGAGAGCCTTCGAACAAAGAAGGATTTACATAACTCCCCCACTGTTTGATAATACATTACTCCTGGAATGTGAAGTTAATATTAGTACAAAACAAAATACAATTCAATATTATGTGTGCATATATGTAGTCAAGATACTTAAATTAATTTACATACATTATTTAATGAAAAATAGATGTAAACATTTTTCTTTTTAGAATTTTTTAGAATAATTTCTTCCGGTTATCTTTCTATCAAATTTTACATCATTAATTTCTTTTTGATACTTATATTTCCTTTTGATTATCTTTCTGTCTCTTTTACAACCATTTTAATCCAAAAAATTAAATTATTGTTTTTCCTTGACATCTTTAATGATATAATTGGGGTTTTGTTTTAGATTTTGAAAACCAAGATTTTTAATTAGTTCCCGATTTCTAAAATCTTGACAATCCTCTCTATTTTTATTAATATCTGTTATATTTTTCTCCTTTTTTATGTAATAGTTCGTTGAGTTTTTGCCAGTCTGATATATCAATTTGCTTATGTAATAAGTCAAAGGGTTTATATCCAGTCATGCTATGTGTGGCATTATTATAAATTTCTATAGCTTTAAACACTAATGTTTTGTCGTCAATACCTTGGTTGTTTTTATCTAGTTTAAATAGTTGTATATGCTCATTGAGCGTTAAATGGAAACGTTCGATATCAGAATTACCTGTGTGTGTATTAGGAAATGTGTAATGTATGCAGTGTTAAACTCGTTATCTGCTATAACTTTTGTTGGTTTTCCTAAAATAACGAACCTTTCCTTTAACATGCTTACGATAGTAGTAAGTTTATCTATGCAGGTTAAAAATGTTATATTTTTGTTTAGAAACCATATATCGATATGTAAAATTTTATTTGGGTTTTTAGGTGTCTCTGTAATGCATAACTTATTTTTAATAGGATGTCGATCATATTTGCACATATAGCATATGATACAATTATTTATGTATTTTTGAATTTCAAATTTAAAATTAGGAAAATAATACACGCGATTAAGGTCCTGGTATATTTCTTCTATACCTCTATGGTTGTTAACACAGTGATGGTTTTCTATTATTTCCAAAAGCTCTGCTTTGTCCATTACATCTTTCAAAAATATACTGCATTTTAAAAATTTAGTACCTGAATTTGAAAAGTAATTAACTATTGTATTCTGAAATAATTTGAAAATATCAAAATTCTTACAATAAATACCGATTGTACCTTTAAATGGCAAAAGTTCTTTTAAAATATTTTTTACATATTCTTCTTCATATGTTTTGAGAGTAATTACGGTAAGAGTTTTGTTTTTATATAACATATTCTTATAATATAACTTTCCCTAAATCTATAATAACTTGATGCTTATATATATTGACAGGCGATTCAGATATGTAGATGTAATCACCCAAATTTTCTTTACGGCTATGCACTGTTGCTAAATCAGAAAAAGAATTTGCTAATTTTTTTTTTTTTTCAAAAAAGTTAAGGTCCGCTCTACTTAAAAAATCTGCAACGGCATTTGTCTTTCCTTTGATATATTCGATATCAAATTCATATTCGTTGAGCCTTATCTTCCAACGCTGCAACTTCATATTAGGTTCTTTTAGTGAGTTTAACCAAATCAAAGGGCGATGATCGGTATAAATTTTAAATTTTCTACCATATAAGAAATGCCGAAAATGCTTGGTCGCCCAAACAATTCCAAGTAGCTCATTTTCTATCGTGCTATAGTTACATTAGTGCGAATTCAAAGTCATTGATGCAAATGCAATCGGGTGACCATTTTGTGATAAAACGGCACCGAAAGAAAGATTCTCTGTATTTAATATCTTTTATATTAATTTTAGAATCTTTTTTAAAACACAATATCAATGGAAGAGCAACACGACTGAAATCCTTCATAAATTTCCTATAAAAGCCAGAAAGACCTAGGAATGACCTTATTTGCTTACGAGTTTGTGGAAGTTTTATTTGATTAATAACTTTAATTTTTTCAGGATTTGGCTTAATTCCTTCGACTGAGATAACGTGTCCTAAATATTCTGATTTTCTTTGAAAAAAATGCACTTATCAATCTGTACTTTAAAGTTACATTCTGAAAGTCTTTTCAAAATTTTTCCCAAAGAAACCAAATGTTCACTAAGTGAAGTAGAAAACACCAAGATATCAAGGTAAACTACACAAATGTTGTTCACAAAATCATGCAAAACTTCATTCATCATTCGCTGAAATGACGCTGGAGCGTTTTTTAGCCCAAATGGCATGCGAGTGTATTTATAATGGCTTGTTGGAGTTGAAAACGCAGTTTTATGTCTGTGTTTTGGGCATATTTAAATTTGATGAAATCCCTTTGCTATGTCTAATGTTGTAAAATAATTTGAATTGCCTAGTTTTGACAATAGGTCATATATATTTGGCAGAGGGAATTTATCTTCAACAGTTACATCATTAAGCCTTCTATTATAATCAAAGACAATGCGCCACTTTTGCACTTTCGAGTTATCCAATTTTTTTGGAACTTTCCAGATAGGTCCATATAATCCATAGTCCATATAACGGACTAGAAGATTTTGTTAATATGCCAGAATTTAACATATCGTTAATCTGTCTATCTACTTCTTCTTTATGAATTTCAGAGAATCGATAAGCTTTTGAATATCTGGGTATGTCGTTAATAGTTGGTATCGTATGTAGATGCTTACTAACAGTTGTTGTAAGATCGTCACCTTCTTTATAAAAAATTTAATTGAATCGCTTTTTTCTATTTCTTCTTTATTTAATTGACCGGTTTTTAATTTTTCAGTTATATGCTCAAAATCTGGTTTATGAAATTGAATTTCTATTATTTTAGAACATAAACTGTCTAATTCTGTTTTTTTATTTTTGACTCAACGTGGTCATCAAATAGTAATTTTAAAGTTGCATTTTCCGCTATCAATTCTTGTTTTTCAAAATCTGTTTTCGCTTTTAATGGTTTAAGTATTTTACAACCAATAATTCCATCAAAATTATTGTCTAACTTAGCTTCTAATATTTCTACGTTAATATTCGGTAAATTAAATTCTTTAAACAGAGGAATGGTTATTTTTGAATCTATCAAAAGCTGTCGAATTAATGGTTTTTAATGTTATATGTCTATCTAATTTTTTCCTAAAAATACTGTTAAATAGATTTTTATTAATTATAGATGTTGCTGCTCCAGAACCATTTTTTCATTCGAGACGTAATCATACCAATTATTATTTTCAAGGTTGGCTCTTAAGTTTGGCTTAGTTAACTGCGCAACCAAATATTCGTAGAGGTCTTTAATATTGGTCTTACATTCTACTCTGCGGCTTTTATTTTATTAACAATAGTTTCAATATTTTCATAAATGCCAAAATTCGTTTTTAATATAACTTTTATAGTTTCCCATTTTAATGGATTTCCATTATTTATTAGCGATATGTTCGCCTTACCTATTATTTTATTACGCATTCTTAAATCAAACAATTTAAGAAAATTGGGTTCCGTTGTTGTTGTGATTTTCCGCAATTCATCGATATGTAAAATAAACAGGTCGAGCTTCTCAGCTTTGCCGTTAAATTCAGGAACATCCGCTAATAAATCGAAGGTGGTGTGGCGTGACATGATATAGCTGTTGGTCCTGTTAATTTTTCAGTTTG